GTCAATGAATATGTGTACCTTGGTAAAATGTTTACCAAATATGAGAAAATGGATGGAGAAATATTAAGGCATGCAAGTGCTGGTAGAAAGTCAGTAAGCAATAAGTGAACTGTTGTGAGGAATGAATGTTTGTCAAAAATAAAGTTAGTGTATTTTTGCCTACTTTATGCTATGTCAAGAAAAGCAAAAGTGACTTGAATACAGTGAGAATAGGGTATTTCATTGTGTGTGGTAAAGCAAGGAAAGGGTCAAGAATTAATGGGTGCTGAATTAATGTAGATTAAATACAAAAATGACTGATAAAAATATGTTGAGGTGGTTTGGTCCCATCAAATGAATAAAGATCAAATAGCAAAACATACATGAAGGAACAGTGAGTCAAGAGGGAGGGAGGACTGAAAAAATATGATTAGAGATGATGAAATCCTCGAGTGGTAAGGAGTTTAATGACAAAGGGCAGTCTGTGAAGTGTAGGGCCATGGCGGAAAAAAGTTGGTTTGCAAGGATAGAAATGGATGGAGAAGTATCCTGAATGGTTTGGTGTAAAGTGGAGTTTGTTTCTGTTTTTTCTCCCTTACCTCATGCCCTAATTTCTTTGCTGTGTTTCACACAATGTTGCTTAACCTGAAAGGGAATAGAATGATGGGTTTGTGTGAATAAAATGGCTGAAGTCAAATTTAATGGCACCATTGTACAGACAGGAAATGTAAGCTCTTTTTTGATCTTAAGAACAACACAAGATAAAAGCAGATCTTATGTGCTGAATGGTTCTTTGTCTATGGATAATTTTTATTATTTGAATGAATCATATTAAAAAGATGCTATATTTGCAGCTAATTTTGTGTCTTCTGCAGAATTCTGCAGAATTGACATGCTTCAGTCAGCCACGCTGGCTAATAATGAGAGTCATACATAGTCCAAGACTAGAAGGTAGCAGATTAGGGGTAGCTATCTTAAATCAACCAACATACATGGATGGAAATTGATCTAATAAGAGAATTCCCTTTTAAAAAATTCTTCCTTTCTAGGATTGACTGTTTGACACTTTCCACTGCAACTTGTACAGAATTGGGCTTATAAAAGGAACCTTTTTTTTAAAAATAATTCCTGGCTGTTATACTTTACTTTCTGAATCATGTTGCAGGATACATCCTGAGGAGTTCTTACTACTATCTACTCACTTAAACATTTTTAAAATGTTTAAAGGCCAGACAGGCTATAACTTGCTGCATGCATACTGCTGGGTGAGAACATTAAAAAAAAGCAACATATTTAACATTAAACATATTTTTAAAAAGGCAACAAAAGAGCCCTGATTACTTGAGGGACTGCTTGTCTCCCATTGCATCTGCCCAGCCAGTTCCATCTGGCAGGATTGACGCACTCTGGGCTCCTTCAATTAAACAGTGTCATCTATCGGGATCCTGGAAGCATGCCTTCCCTGGGGCAGTGCCTGCCCTCTGGAATGAGATTCCCCCTGAGATCCAGATGGCCCCTTCACTTCATCGCGCTTGCCACCTTTTATCTTTATCGTTCATGTTTTATTGATTTTATTGTAATTTGTTTGATTGTTGTGAGCCACCCAGCATCGTTGGGAGTTGGGTAGCATATAAGCATCATGATCATCATCATATCAGTGGCATCACTTGGGGACCACAAAATATCACAAAAAAATCACAATGGGACCACAAAAGAGACAAAGTAATAAAAAACAAAGTTACAGTGCTCTAGATCTTTGGAATTCAAACAGACAAGCATCTGCCACGCAACAACTCAGACTTAACAATTGTTGATAAGACAGACAAAAAAGTCTGGATAGTGGACATTTCTATTCTGTCTCCAGGTATTACAGAGAAAGAACTGGAGAAAGTCACAAAATATAAAGACCTGCAAATAGAAGTAGAACAACTATTGCAAAACAAAGCAAAGATCGTACCAATAGTAATAGGTGCCTTGGGTGCAATTCCAAAACATCTGGAGCACCACTCGAACACCATCACCTTTGACCAAAGCACCATCAATCAGTCAATTGCAAAAGGCAGCTTTACTTGGAACAGCTTACATCCTGCGATGATACCTTTAATATGATTAAACAACATCTGCCTAACCCAGATCCTTGGGAAGGACTTGATAACGTGGACAAAAATGCCAAATCTAGTCTAAGTATCTGGCTGACTGTGCAACCAACCATAATAAAATATCGTCAGTGGCATCTGCAGCAAACTGCAATGTAAAAAGTAACAGTGTCTTACCATCTGTAGGTTCCTCTAGGTTATCATGCCAAGATGCAGGTTTCCCAGTTATGGCGTGAACTGGGGGCAAAAGCAAGATTATGAAATTAGCTATTGCTAGACTTCAAACTAAAGCAGCAGTTTAGACTAAGAAAATGAGAAAGTTAACATTTTCTCCTCACTCTGATTTCTTTGGGAACATTTCAGGTAACATTTAGTTTGAAATGCAGACTTTTGCAGAACTGAAAAGAGATACTGTGTGTAATTAGAAAGGAGAGAGAAGCATTTGGGGACTCCAAATTCTGTGCATTGTTTAAGGAGGAAAGACTAGCACCTGGTGGTACAAAAGTCAACTAAGGTAGGACTTCTCGGTTATGCATCTGTCACTTATTAAATTTCATAGCAAAAGCAACAGCTTTGCATGGTAGGTTATAAATGTGATTTTGTTTTTAACTGCCTTTTTTGTCTGGGCCTACATCCAACTTGATATGCGTAGAGAGCTATTAATTTGGGCCGGCTCCCCATCATTCTTACCGTACACTTCCATCCCGCTCCCTTTACATACCAGTACAGCCTACATCAAGCTTTGATTACGTTCAGTGGCAAGGATACGTAAAAAAAACGGGAAGGGGGCAACCTTTCCCAAAACCGCCTTCTCCCTGCCCAGATACCTTTCATGAGCGGGTTTGGTGAATACTCCGTATGCAGGCGCTGACATCGCAACTCCTTCCGGATCGTCTCACACAAGATCTTATTCTGATTTACTGGGTCCAATGGTTCTTTCACGCCCCCCTTACCCGCTGCCATGCGACGTTACTTAGAGCGAGTTTTCAATCGCTCCAGAACCTCTGCAAATGCTGTCTCCGGGCCGAGCGTCTCCAGGGGCGGAGACGGTCGCTTCTCGTCTCCCAGCTACCGAAAAAAACGTCACAGGGCGGGGTTATAGCGGGTATTCTGACCCCGCCTCTCCTCTTTCCATTGGCTGAAAAATTAAAGCTTCCAAAGCGCTGATTGGTTGCTGCGACCGGTAGAAAACATTTGAATCCGCATGCAGTCGAAGCAGAACTACGGCGGAGAAAAGAAACTTTACCGTGGGAATGTATTTTCAAACTCCGGCTTGTTCAATAGCTAGTTAAAGTGTCTGTTCCGCGTACGACGTAGACTTTAGTCGGTCTCGATCTCTTTCTGTAATGTTTCTGCCTTGCACTCTCGTCTTCACCCCAGCGGAATGCAACTGGCAGAAGGCTCAGAACTGGATGGGAGGATTCGCTGCACGGTGGCAATTGAGCATTTGGGTGCAGCGGCGGCCCCCAATCGCCTGCTTCTCCGAGATGCCTCGGTCACCCTCGGCCGGAATGAGTTTCGCGAACTGGCATTACAGGTGACGAATACCTCGGGTCCAGGGCGTCTCCAGAACTTCCCTTTGCGGCAGAATGAGGTGCGTCTGTTCACACGTTTCCTGAAGGATGGGAAGAGCTCGATCCGGTTGGGCCCCGCGGGTTCCAATTATGTGCAGCTGCTGCTCTCTAATTGTCCTCCGGATCGCTTGCGTCGCTTTGTTCAGACCCTGCGCATCAAATTCGAAGCCACCCAGCACGGAATGCGGCCGGTGGCTGAGCGCACACGGCTCCTCTCTAACTTGCCACGCACATTTGACACAGTAAGCCCCGTGCAAGCCCGCGATGTGCAACAAGCAAATGCCAGACAAGCTCTGGCTAACGTTGCAACCACCCCCACGAGAGGCCGGACTTTACGCTGCGGGTCTAGGAAGCGTCCTATGGAATCAGCGGATGGGAGACAGGTAAACTGTCGTCTTCTGCCTGATCAGCACCAGCATAAGTTTGCCTATGAGCACCAGCAGTAAGTTTCAGCAGTAAAGGTGCAGAGAATCACACCCTCTGATGGTGTTTTCCCAAAATCCCAGACAGCCATTGACCATGTTGACTAAAGGATACCATGTTGGGAAGATAGATTGATTTATTCCTTAAGTACCTTTAGAAAAGTTTTCATATTCCAAGTCTGGGCTTTCTGTTGCTTGTTT